CACTACCCCGCAGAGGTCAACCCAAATTAGGATATCAGAAGAGAGACCCAGCTAGGACAGCCAGAGGAAATTCCTAAGACGATCAACTAGCTAAGCCTTCCCTCCTGGGCTCGTTCAAAACATCCCACCCTGCGTACCTGTATTAAGGGATTGCTCCCACGACTCACTTCAGATATCGAGGACGCGATATAAAGGAGCTTGGAGCATACAAAAACATGTTAAGGGATTGAAAATTCGATTTGAACAAAAAATTCAACTTGTTTTATTTATTTCCGATGTTTTTATAGCAAAACTTCCTTGGCAGCACTTTTAACCTATGCCATTCGAAAGAGCACGCTTGGAAATCTCAAAATTTTGGCTTTTAAATTCGTTACGTGGTACTAATTTGGACTAAGCTTTCGAAAAACCGTCCTGTAAACGTTAATGAGTTCGTTAGGTCAATAGCTTATCTTCTTCGTTAGCGTAATAAGGATCCAGCACCTATTAACGTCTTAAAAACCGGTAGATCACGAAAAGGTGTTCCTTATCTTTCTCCAGCCGAAATAGCTTACGATGAGCCTGTCCTTTTAATCTTTAAGCTTCTTCAATCTAATAAAACTAAAACGTCCGAAAAACTTCACGGTACGTTCGAAAATTGAACTAAGTTCAACGAAATCGACCCCTTTTTAGATAGTGACGATTTGATTAGAGTAGGCGGGTGGCTGAAGAATTTTAATCTTCCTTTCAATCAAAAGCATCCAATCTTGCTAGCACAGAATCATCTCGTGTCAGATCTTATTATTTGTGATGCTCATCATCGAAATCTTATCTTCACGGTGGAATTCAATCAATATTTACTCAATTCGTGAGCATTTCTGGATTCTGAATGGAAAGAATCAAGTTAGACACATCTTACACCGATTCGTTCCGTACATTCGACAGAAACCAAGGTTCCTTCATTACAAAATGACTGGCTTACCAGAGTTTAGGATAGTTCCTAGTACCGGATTTGCCGAAATGAGAGTAGATTTCTTCGTCCCAATCTTAATTAATAAAAAAAAAGATCGAAACCGTAGTTTTATTAAGGCATACGGCTGTGTCTTTGTGTGTATAGTATCCAAGGCTGTTCACATTGAGGTAACTTCTGATCTTTCTACTTAGAGCTTTCTAACATATTTCCGTTGATTCATAAGTGTTCGTGTAAAGCCGCGGGTCATGGAATCTGATAATGAAACGAACTTCACAAGAATGAACAACGAACTCCGAAAAATCTACGATCTGCATGCAACACCGGAATTTAGAGATGCGATTCAGAACTACGCCGCCAACGAATATATTGAGTGGCAATTCAATCCGAACCTGAACCCACCTCTCTCTCTATATTTCGGTGGATTATAGGAGGCCACAGTCAAAAGTTTTAAGCATCATCTAAAACGTGTGATGAAAGATCAAACATTCACCTACGAGCAACTCGACGCTTTGCTAAAGGAAATCTCTGTCACACTGAATTTCTATCCCTTGTATGCGAACTCCGTGGACTCCAGCGACGCGCTAGCTATAACACTTTTAAATATCCTGCCAAAGCTGCACAAATAGTAGGAGAGTATATTACAAAGCATCTCTGATCTTGAATAAATTTTTTTATATTTTCTGCTAATCGTACTTAGTCTTGTTTCGATTTGAAAATATTTGTGAACTGATAAAAGATACTTTTATTATGAAAATTCTAAGCCTATTATATTTTTCATTTTTCAAAAGATGGCCGTCTTAGATCATTTATAGGTTGAAGTCGTTTAAACCGATCAGTAATTGGGACACCTTTTTTACAGTAAACAGCTCAAAATTGTTATAGATTACTTTTTTATATTAATATATACGTATCTATAAGTTATCTCGAGCTCTAGTTGTTAATTCTCAAATAGTAATATAAGTTAGATGCCGTCTATTTGGCTAACGTTCAGCGTAAAGTGTGGCTGTATAAACGTAAACACCCCGGCACTCTCCTAAAATCATAATCATGTCTATAATTTTATTTAGGGGGTAATCAGTCATTTTGTATTTTTAAGAAATGAACTACTAAATAAAGATAAATGGTGTTCTCGTAATTTTGAATTTTGAGTTACTTATCCGTTAGCCCGTCGCTTAAGCACGATCTCTAACACGGACTGTAATGTTTGTACAGGTGGTACTTGGATGCACAATTACAAAAGTAAGTTTTTTTCGCGATTCGTTATCAAATCTGTTGAAGCTACCTGCGACACAAAATTAAATTATATTACTATTATTATTATTATTATTATTATTGTATAGCAGATGGAACTCGAAAGTTCATAGGCTCATCAACACAAGTTTTCTATTCCTCTGTATTTTTCACAAGTTCTAACCACAAGTTCTTTCCACTGTAGCACATTTTTTGAAAAGAATTCAGCTGTGTATTGGGGAAAATGGCCGTCAGATTGTGCACGTACTCAACGGTTAATTTAAAAACATAAAGTGAGAGGCAAGGGGACTCACGTTAATCAAGTGCCCTATCATGAGAAGCAAAGGGACTTACACTAATCAAGCACCCCAAAGGAAACAAAACCTTACTACGTCTACGTCGTTATTTCTGGGTAACGCTAAATATCAGGACAACATTTTGAAGTTCTCAATTTTCAAGTAATATTGAGGTTGATATTCATCAGAAAAGACTAGCAAATAGCATCCACAGGACTTTTTAGCATTTGACCTTGAAATGACCATCCAAAGGTCATAGGAAAAAAATTTGAATATGGTTTTGGACGTAAAATTTCCTGTTCTTTCTGATTCCGGTGACAAAAATAGGGATTCTCATTTAAAAAAATACTCTGACCTTCAAATGACCTTGAAAATAAAGTTCAAGATTAAATATAAGTTTACAATTAGATGGCCCCCTTGTATGAAACATTTTTCTGTATCCAACCACAATTTTGAGATATTCCATATAATAGAGTAAAATAGGTTACCCTGTATGTCTTAGCAGCAAAATTTTCTTATCTTCTTTTTACGTAAGACAGATTGTGAATAAACTTGGAGTAATAATAAAAAAAATATGTCTAATTTTTGCTAGTGCAATTCTTTCGCTTTTATTATTCGACAAATCTAGAAAGATAATTTGGAAGAATAGCTAGTTTGCGATTTCTTGTAGATTTCCAACTCCATTGAGTCATCTGCTTCTCGTCCGAAAACTTCCAGAAAAACGATGGAAGTTCAAATATTAGAGAAAAAAGCAGCTATGAGTGTAATTAATCAACTATGAGTAAGTCACATGATTGAAGTATCAAGTTACTTGTTAACACTGTTTCTTATAGCAAAACAGATATGGTATCAGAGTTATAGTCAAAGTTGTTATGAAGATAAACTTTAAAGATGAAACTAGCAAATAATTTGTTAATAACAGGTTGCCTAAAATCAAAAAGGTCAATTGGAGAAATTAAAAGTTATACTTATCACTTACGCGACTCAAAACATACTACGTATCAAAACGCAATCATCCTTGGAGAGATCGTAGAGGGTCTATCTTTGAGTTTAGTAACTTTTATTAATGTGTTTTTTCTATTGTAGTTATGACTCAAAATCTCTGCTTGAATTTCTGAATTAAACGTTAGATCAACATATTGATAAAAAAAGTAATTAGTCAATCTAGGGTATTTTTAGCTTTTGGTGATTAAGAAAAACTTGTTATTTATCTGATTATCAATGCTGACCCGGAAGATATACGAGTATAGATATGTGTGTATGTGACAGACAACAAGTATTATCTAGCATTTCATTTAGTGTCTGGTCATTAAACAAAATGCTGGAAAATATATAAATGTACAAGTGAAATCGAATATTTATCTATTTTCATCTTTCGGTTAATAAGTTTGCTTATTTTAGTATGCAAACGTTTATATTTTTCCAAATGAAAAATTTTAACTTAAATTTATAGAAAATAGGCGTGAAAATCTGATGGTAATCGGTGTGTGTGTATGCGCGCGCGCGCGCGTGTGTATGTGTGTGTGGAATAAAAAAATACATGGATTATGTTAGAAATGTTTTGTCTAGAATTAGTACAATTTAAAAAAAAACTCAGTTATCTATAACTATCTTAAGAATTATAAGCTTATTACAATAGAAAATGAAGGCCACGTTATAAAATATTTGCAATATTGGAATGACTTTGGAAGAAATCATAAGATGTTTCAAGTATCAAATTTATATTCACGATAAGTGTCGAGAATTGAATTTGTCAACTGAAGACATAATTATTTATCTATTGTGCGTGGGACAATAACACGCAGTAAGTAATTGAAAGTAAGCTTACAATCGAAAAGTTATTGTTGCATAAAAAATGATTTGTTATATAAAAAGTTTGAATTTTCTTCGATGCAATGATCATCTTCTACCTATCATTCTTGAGCACATTCACCTTTATATGCGTAAGTACGTGCGCGTATATAACCGCGTATAACAATAAAACTAGTTTATTTAATTAATTGATCAAATTTTCAGTAAAAAATATTTTTTATTTTGTAAAAATCTACTTTTTTTTTAGTATAGTGATTTTAACATCGTCCAAAAATCAATGTACTTTTTTACAAAATTAGAAATGATTTGGTTATGTAATTGTTCCTGTAAACTATGAGAAAAAAAGTAATAGTAGTTCGAGCAATTAATTTCATCGAGTTAACAGGATTTTTTTATTACGTAATTATCCTACTGAAAAGCCCTATACTATGTTAGCTAAGATAGCATTAAAATGCTCGAATGAAGAACACGAGTGAGTGATAGAAAAATGACGAAGAAAAAGAAAGAAAGAGAGAAATGAGATAGGCTCTGTGTGATAAATTTAACATACGACGCCATATGTCGTGTTCCATGTGACGATTTTATCAATATTTCTAATAATAACGATAAAAAGATTTTTTTGATAAAAAAGAATTAAAAGAATTTTTAGTGTATACAATATAATAAAATTATAATGGAATGACATTTTATTCATAAGTAAAATATTGATTCAGCTATTGAAGGCTTTGGAGGTGTACCACCGATCCGACCTTTGGAGACGCTTCATAACGCACTGTCATTGCGTCAGCTTGACTCCTTTCTTGAAGCGATGACTATAACACCAATGTTTCGTACGCCTGCCTCTTCACCACCTAAAGTATCACCTGTTAGCATTGCCGATGGTCAACAGCAAAACCTCATAGCCATTGATAGTATAAGGTAAAGAATGAGACTAGTCAGTAATAGAATGAACATTTTTTATGCTTCCGATTACTGCTTCATGTTCTATTTTTTATGACATTATTTACTATGCATTCCTTTATGATAATTTTAAACTATTCAACTATAATTTTTTTAGTAACTCATACCATTAATTACAAAAAAATTTTATTTTATTTTCCTATATACAGAAGCAAATGAAATATACATTGTGTCATCAGTATTGCCATAAACGTTGTAATACTATTTATCAATCGAAACAATAAAATTACTAAATTAAAACATTTTTTTCGTATATAATATTCGATTAATGTAATGATTCAAGATACATCATATCAAATTTAGTTGAATAATCTGATAATTAGCGGTGATTATTTTTGTTACTCTTACAAAAGAAAGTACTCTTTAGATCATACATTTTTCTTCTATTTTATTGAAAACAAAGTTTCTTAGAAGACTTTTTCTTTTTGCCACATCATATTATTTTATACCTTTATTTGTTTGTGCAATCAGCGGTTGCTGAGATATTGATGGTTAAAAACAAAAAGATCCTTTTCCATTCAAAGTTCGATATCTCAGCGAGAGGTGAGGGTACTGAACTTTTCAAAAATGTAAATTAAAGCTGAAATAAACAAGTAATCCGATCCATGTAGTGGCTGAGTTAGAAAAATTTTTTCCAAGTTCGTAGACTAAAAAAAAACTGAAAAAATTTAATAAAAAAATTTTTTTTGGTATTTATGAGGATTGAGCAGAACATGTTGCTTGAAAAATTTTTTGATTATGAGATCTCAAAACTAGAAACTTCAAACTTGAAAATGCTTTTTTTTAATTCCAATACGACCATTTTCAAGGGAAATACAGCCAGTTAAAAAGCGTCAAAAAATTTGGAATTTTTTTTTGATCCTTTAATTTTTTCCACTAGTGTATTAAGATAAGTCTTGTTGGTATATTTCAAGAGGTCGATCTTGGACTGATGCAAAGATGTTGATATTTACGAGAAATTAATACATGATAAGATTGGTATGAATGCTTCGATGGTGTAGAAAAAAGAACACTTTTTTTACTTCGGTAAACAATAGGAGTTTGTTTAAACAAATTAAAGACCATATATAAGATAATTAAGAAATATCTAAGATTAATTAAGAAAATTAAGATCTTGCTTTGATCAGTTTTTATTGCTGTCAGTTTGACTTTGTTTCTAACTTTGGTAGAATCATTTTGTTTAATTATTATGAATTATATATACAGAGTGATTCAAAAACATATGTAACTAATAATTCCATTCGATTCGTCTCGAAAAATTAATTCCGAATTGTGTTCTTAGTTTTTCGATTAAATAATTAGGTAATTAGATAATTAGCTTCAAAGATCGGCCAATCAGCGCACAGCTTTAGAAGAACGGGCGCTTGGTGGCGAGCGCGGAGCAGTGAGGGGGGGCCAGCGGCGCGCGCCGCAGCTGATTGCAAGCGGTGCTCAACCCAATCGTGCAACACGGAGCTCCCATGTCTACATACTGATATACGTATTCATTGATTGAACGCGTATCGATAAAAAGAACGGTTCAATACCGATTGACTAATAACAATGATGTACGTGAAAGCTTTTGTGTTTATTTTGCGAAATAGGTTATTTAGTATTCGTAGTCGTCGAATTCAAACTCGCTGTCTTACTTAAGAATTATGTTCATTTAATGCTGAAAATCGCTGTGATCGGCTACTACATTATTGCTTTTTTTTGCTTTTGAGAAAATTGAGATCAATAGGTAGAGGCGTACAGTGTGTTTCCAATTAGTTTGGTTATACGTTTTTTTAAGATTAAGAAATAAAATAATAATAAATAAATTTCATGAAATTATTTCCAGCACATAATAATTATAAAGAAAATATCGCAATGCTGAAGACTAGATCTACAATACATTGCGCATTTCTGAAATATTATTATCAATCTGACGAGCAAGCTACAATTATCAAAATAATTAGGATTATTGTAGAACGCATTAGAACTTTAAGTCGTAGTCTGGGAAGCGAAACGCTTTTCATAAAGTGCGTAAATGTGTGTACATCAATTTTTCCAAGTTGAATTAAGAATTATAAATAATAAAAAACTGAAAATTATAAAAGTCATCGCCACTTTTCGGTGAAAAGAAATTCCAAAAACAAATTTCCATAATTTTTTAAAAATCAATCTCTCGTTGCCCTGTTCCGTATGATAACTTCATCGTTTAAAAAACCGACATACGAAAGAAGATCCGTAATGATTCAAAAGTGCCAGGCTGCTCGGAGAGAGTAGTGGATGTGGCGAAGGTGCGGATTTTGAGAAGAATAAACGAAACGGGGGATGAGGCTCGGGGGCATCAGGACAGACGAACGCAGTGCGACCTAAGAAATTAGACGGACGGTGGGAGGGATTCGTCCAAATAAGACGGACGAGCGGAAGGCAAGGTGTAAAAAGAGGGACGAGCGGAGGGCAGAGTATAAAAAGAGGGACGAGCGGAGGGCTGGGTGGAATAAGACGGACGAGCGGAGGGTAGCGTCTAAAAGGGCAGACGAGCAGAGGGCTACGTCGAAATGTAACGGACGGCGAAGGGGAGACGTCGAAATAAGACGGACGGGCAGAGGGCTGGGTGAAATAGGGCACACGAGCGGAGGGCTGGGTGGAATAAGACGGACGAGCGGAGGGTAGCGTCTAAAAGGGCAGACGAGCAGAGGGCTACGTCGAAATGTAACGGACGGCGAGGGGGAGACGTCGAAATAAGACGGACGGGCAGAGGGCTGGGTGAAATAGGGCACACGAGCGGAGGGCTGTGTGAAATAGGACGGACGAGCAGACAGCTGCATCCTGAAGGGCAGACGAGCAGAGACCTAGGTCACAATATGACGAACGAGTGGAGGGCTGCGTCCAGAAGGGCAGACGATGAGAGAGCTATGTTAAAACAAGACTGATGTGCGGAGGGCTGTGTAAAATAAGACGGACGAACGCAGGGCTGCGTCTAAAAGGGCAGACGAGCAGAGGGCTGCGTCGAAATTAGACGGACGGTGGGAGGGAGACATCGGAATAAGAGGGACGAGCGGAGGGCTACGTCGAAAGTAGACGGACGGTGAAAGGGAGACATCGGAATAAGACGGACGAGCGGAGGGCTATGTCGGAAAGGGCAAACGAGCTGTGGGCGTGATGAAATAGGGCAGACGAGCGGAGGGCAGAGTAAAAGGAGACGGACGGGTCGGGGGCCGTGTGAAACAAGGCGAACGCGCGAAGGGCTGCGTCTAAAGGGCTTCCGAGCCGTGGGCTACGTCGAAATAAGACGGACGGGCAGAGGGCTGACGATGAGAGGGCTATGTTAAAACAAGACTGATGAGTGGAGGGCTGTGTAAAATAAGATGGACGAGGGAGGGCTGCGTCCAAAAGGGTAGACGATCGAAGGGCTATGTTAAAACAGGACAGACGAGCGGAGGGCTGCGTCTAATAGGGCAGACGAGCAGAGGGCTGCGTCGAAATTAGACGGACGATGAAAGGGAGACATCGAAATAAGACGGACGGGCTGAGGGCAGCGTCATGAATGGCAGATGAGCAGAGGGCTACGACGAAAAATGCATGCGAGCGGAGGGCTGTGTGAAATAGGGCAGAGAAGCGGTGGGCTGCATCCTGAAGCCTAGTGTGGCCTCAGAGGAAATGCAGGCGAAGTCGGAGTTTTGTAATAAGCTTAAGACTAGAGCAGACTGCCCTTGCAATAGATTTGGACCGAATTCAGGCTCGGAAAAAGGGCTATGCATAGTGAGTAATAAGTAAAAACAAATGAGCACCTCTCCGGGGTACATGCGATTTTTGTGTTAATTGTTTGTGGAAAAAATTACAAATAAAAATAATTGCGAAAGAAGAAAGTTTTTATATTAATGTCACGTGTACTGCGTACCCATCCATACTAGCCACCATAAAAATTCGTCGGAAAATGATCGGCGCGTATTTATTTATTTGTAAGCAGAAGATTTAAACCCATGTAAACAACGATGCTTAAAGACGTAACTCGGTTTTAGAAAATTAGTACCCGGCATAACAGCGTAAATTCGGCAAGCTTTTCAATTTGAATGAAGGATACGGGCGAACTCATGAAACTAAATTCGCCATCGTATTCTTCGTAAGAAAACTACGTTAAAGTCATGTACGTATATGAGTTGAAAAAAACGTTTCATGGATTGTCGAGGAATTTGGAGGAAAACTTTCGCCTGTGGATCGATCGACGTATGGAATTTGCTTTGTTGATATTCTTAGAGTTTCAAATAATTTTTTTAACAATGTGATACGTGTTTTTCAAGTATTATTTATCGCAGAACACTATGGTATAATTTGTTGCAAAACTGAACTGCAAATTGCTAGAAACGATAATTCGAATTTGTCAGAAAATTTTTTTGATTTATTAAAGGTTTTTTGATTCTAGTTCTATTTTTTCAAACTATACAACAAATATAATTATACCATCGTATTCTATATCTGTAAAAATTACATCGAAAACAGGTATCGAATTGTTATAAATAATTTTAGGAACCCTCGAATATTCTACAAATAAAAGTACCATATACTAATTAACTGAAATAGCAGCACAACTCACCCAACATATCATCATATCAACACAAACGAGCTTTTATAAATTGCTGGATCTACCATTCAAAAAGTTCTGTACAATTGATATTTTTTGGAAAATATCAAGTTTTAAACATAATATCCCAATTTTTACAATTTTTTGAACTTTAAACTCGAATATCTCAAAAACACGAATGACGGTTATGGCTGGATGCCACAGAAATAACTGTAGATATGTAAAGATACATGTCAAAAGTTTATTAAGAGTAAATGGAGAAGTCAATTACATCAGTCAACGCTTTGATTTTCATGTGTGCATAATTTTCTTTGTGAAATGTTCTCATGTACTCTTTAAAAAGCTCTTTATCGGCAGCTTTTTCATAGAGCTGCAAGTGATCTTTCAGTTCAAACGGATAGCAATTTCT